CCTAGACCTTTGTTTGGAAGAAATGCCTCTAAAAGAGAAGGAAATAAAATCTGCAGAAAAATCTGTCATTGAGCAGTCAGAAAGAAGTAGAGGAATTATCAGACGTTCAGAGATGTTAGTCCAGTGCAGCAAAAATAGCCAAAGTGAAACTGTCCTTAAATAAAACCCCCTCCAATCTTGCCCCCCAAGCCAGAACCCAAGTCTCTCCCCACAAAGATGGAAAATACAAGCCTCTCACCACTGCAGACCCAGAGCTCAGTAGAAGAAGCAGAGAAAAAGGCAGATGGTGAGAAAAAGGAAGATGGAAAAAAAAGGGATAGAAATTAAGATTGCAAATAAGATTGGAATTGTCGGAAAAGTACCTGCAAAAAAAGAATGCCCTTCTCCCGCCCTGGACACCGGTCACCAGGCAAGATCCTCTGAAGGCCGTACCTGCAGCAGAGGCAGAAAAAAATAAATCAGCGATGGAGAAGAAACAGGTGACAGCACAAGACATTCTGAAGGCCTTGCAGGAAAAGAAAGAGCAGGAAAGAAAGGAAATGGAGGAAAAAGCCAAACAGGAAGCCCTACTTAATGTGATGGAGATTCCAATCCCAGAGATGCCAAGCAAGGAAGAGGAAAAACCAGGAGTTACGCAGGACACAAATCCCGATCTCAGCTCTATACAGATTCCGGTCAAAGAGATGCCAAGCATGGAGGAGGTGGAGAAGCAGGACTCCACGTCTGGCCTCGCTGCTACAGAGATTCCTGTCCCAGAGATGCCAGGGAAGAAGGAGGACAAATTCAGAGGGACACAGGATGCAATATCTGACCTTGATTCAAAACAGATTCCCATCCCAGAGGTACCAAGTAAGGAGGCCAAGCCTGCAGATAAACAGGACTTACTACCTGACTTGAGCTCAATACCAGTACCCAGTCCTCAAAAAACAGAAAATTCAGTGCTAAATGAGGACAAGAATGTAAAAAGTGACTCTTGTGATATAAACATTATGGATAGTAAACAAGATTTAGAAAACATTGTTATGCCAGAGTCCATACAAACTACAGTGGAGAAAAGCCAGAGTGATCCAGGTCAAAAGACGAAGCAAGAAGATACGCTGAAAGGACAAACGGAACTAAATCTAGATGAAAATAAGACACTTAAGGCTGAAATCAGCATGTCAGGTGATGTTCAGAATGTAGGAGAGGTTAAATGTCTACAGGAGAAGAATTCTATAGCAGTTAACAAAAAATCACAAGAAGACAATCAGACCTCTGTAGCTGAGATGTCAATTAGTAGCACAGCTGTCGAAGTCACTCAGACCGTAAGTATATCGGAAAACACAGGAGACAACGTGGTAAAGGAAGATTCGAACCAGGAGAAACACACAGCAGTTGAAGTCACCCAGACTATTAGTGTTTCAGAGGTCAATGTGTCAGAAAATGTTAAAGACAACACAGAGAAGGAAGATTCGAACCAAGAACCACAGACCTGCGAGTCAGAAGATGTAGCTAATGATGAAGACGATGATAAGACCATAATAGACGATGAAGATACAATGGACAATGATGATGTGTTAGAGATAAGTGACGACGACACTCGAGATGGCGAGTACAACGAGACCATGAGGGTGTCCCAGCGGGCGCGGTGTCGGCCGATCGAGGACGTTATCGAGGTCAGTATGGGTAGCCTTGGTGACGTCGTGGAGGTCGCGGTGGGGGGTGAGGACGACCAGGACCTGGAGGGCGATATAGAGTGCGATGTCGACCAGCTGTACGGGGTGATAGGAGGAGAGTCAGAAAATCTGGACGACGTCTTGTCTGTAGGGCAGGACCGGGGAGGGGCGGGGTGCTTCTCGGAGCTGGGGGTGAAACCGATGGATGTCGAGGACGTGACCGACGGGGGAGGGATGAACGATGAGGAGGTGGGGAACATCGTGGACGAACTGATGCACAGCAACGGCATAGAAAGTGGTAAGTAAAGCATCAATTAATAGAAAGGGAGCAACATTGTCGCATCCCTGAAGTATAAAGTAAAAAGATAAAAATACATTGTTATTGTTACATTATGGGTACTTATGAAGTATAGCTATGAAATAACACTAGTTCACAGCTAATTGAGTAAAATTACAAGTATGTATTAGTTGATAAGGAAATTATTTCAGTTCTAGATTTTAAAAAAAATGCACTTGATCAAATTTTTTGTGCAGTGTTTGTAATTTTAAGCACATTCAGTTTACTTTTCATACTCTATAACTTTATATACATGGTACACTAGCATTCATATTTTGCACAACCTTTCATGTCTCTATTCATAAATATAAGCATTAAATTGATTTTTTAGAGATAAATATGGTCATGATTGCAGCAAAAACTAATTCTTGCCATGAGCTTTTTGCTAAAATTTGAGTCTGCTTTTTTTTAAAACAAATCCTTTCAAATTACGATATGAAGACAACCTGTGTGTTTTGAAATCCTCACTTTCATTTCTACATTTTTTAAAAAAAACTTGAGTAAGGGAAGCACATTTAAAGCCTGTAGAGTCAGTATTCCCCTCAAGTAACATTGTTAGCATTAAATCAGTGGAGTTGAAGTTATTTAGTTATATTTTAATTAATATAGAAGATAAATCAGAGATATTGTAAAATATTGCCAGGTCTGAAGGAGTGGATGTCTAGTTTTGGTAGGTATCCACGTACGACACCTGTCAGCTAAATGTTTTATTTACCTGCATGCTCTGTTTGATAGGAAAATGGTTTTGCATGAGATTCAATGGATTCTTTGTTGTTGAGGGTATATTATGAGATTTTGTTTCACTTCACTGTTCTGTTGTTTTGGATTAAGTTGTTTACATTACATTTTAGCCTTTGTTTTTATTGATATGTATACCTTGTATAGTTATGAAGAGGAAAATTAATTTCTAATTATTTTTTCAAATTTTCACCAATTCTAGCTTTTTTCAGTACATGTATCAGTTTAGCAAGAACTATAGGAAATGCTGAATATATAATTTTATCTTTTTATGACTTCATTAACTAAATCTAGAAAAGCATGACAAACTTTTAATTGGAGTAAACTTTTAATACAAAATTTTTATAATTGAGAAATCGAAGATTAAAATATTATTTAAAAGTTCTGATTTTGTTACTTGTGCGATTTTTACAGATCAAGAGAGCATCCTGAGTGGTACGATGGGCAGCGACTTCGAGGTCGTGGACGAGTGTGAAGAGGAAACGTGAGACGAGAACCGTGTCATGATTAAAAAGATTGTTATGGGGATATGCGTGACAATAAATGTGGTATAATTGTTACTATGTATATGTTGGCGGTGACTTCGAGGATGTAGATGAGTGATGTAGTGAGACAATTTCCATGGTATAGTTGTGAAAATGTACATGGTACTGATGGCAATGTCTTTGAGATTGTAGAAGAGTGCAGTGGGGAAATATGAGGCCATAAGTGTGGTAAAATTGTGAAAATGTACATGGGAGTGACTTTTGGGTTTTAGATGAAATTAACGAAGACACTTGAGATGATAACCATGATATAATTGTTACAGTGTTAGATGTCGGCATCCACGATGACTGTTGCGGAAAGATGTGAACATTTAATCGTGGTATAATTATTGTCAGCCGTGAAGTTGAAGATCTCAGTGTTTTGTTTGTTAGGTCTTGTGTTGTGATGACTAGACATGACAGAAAGCCATTTTAGGATTACTCTATCAAAGCTCTGGAGATGAATGTTTGTGTTGATTTGTGAGTTTATAGGATAAAGACGCATCATGTCTATTTTGTTCCAAGTTGTTAAGTTTTTATAAACTATTCTATAAACTTGAAAGTATGCACTTTTTTTTCAAATCAGTGCTTCATTAAAATCTATGAATGGCAGTTGTGTTGAATGATTTGAAATTACAAATGCCATTTTTTACATTGATCATATAAATCATTTTCATTATCTTCATTTTGCATGTTATACCAGAAATCCATGATACATGTAATGATTATCATTGTTTTCTATTAAAATCATATCACCAAATTGACCTTATCTTGTTTATTTACAATCATGCATGGTTACAAGTGTAATGGTTTGGGCTGTAGATATCAGCCTGGATAGCTCAGTTGGTAGAGCACCTGACTAGAGATGCAGGGGTCCCGGGTTTGATTACCAGTCCAGCCACATCATTTTCTCCCTTCCTGTTACACAAGGAAACTTAATGTAAAATGTAATGTTCAGATATCTTTGTTGAAATAGAGGAATATGTTGTTTATAATTGTGCAAGGAATTTTGGGACGTCAATATAGTGGATTCTGCTGAATTTCAACTAAATATCCAGTAAATTCTGCCTTGTATATTGGCCATGAAAAAACCCCTCTGTAGACACAGTAGAATTTAAAGATATCTAAAATTGGAAATCTGTAACTATTAATGGAAACATTTCAAAATTATTGGTACCCAAAGGAAGGTCTTGTCATAAGGAATACACATGAAATACGAAAGCACAAGTGCTAATAGTTGAAAAGGTATAGCCAAGACTGAAGTTTTTAATAAGTGGTCCAAACTCTATTGTTAAGGTCAAAAATATATTTACCCAATGTCCCAATGAAAAGACTTGTAACAATCAATTGCAAATAAAATTACAAATTACGAGCCCTTGATTGTAGGTGGCGCAAGCCTCGTTGACGTTCAACACTTTTCGTACCTCCAAAGTTAGAGAGCGCGGATACAGATCGAACTTGTGTAGCAAAATATAAAATCTAGTTAATGATGGCGAATTACGGTTCGTGGGACCTGCCTGCATTGAAAGGCGAACTACGAAAACGCAATGCACGAGTGTCCGGGCGGAAAAGAGAACTCGTGGAAAGGTCTGAGTGCTTTTTCATTTCCGTTCGAATTTTCTCAACTAAAATGTTGATGCGCGATTCTTGAGATTAAACGGCAATAACGTAAAACAATAAAGAAGTAATTCACTGAAAATTATAATTAACTGTTATCTTCTATGTTTACCTTTGTTAGAATCGTAG